TACTAGAAACTTTTCAGTTACCCTGGATAGCGGTCTAAACTCAGAAGTTACACAATACCTTTCGGATACTTGCCGATACATCAAAATGAATTAAATCTCAACATATCTCAACTACCTTTACGAAAATCTTCCAATACAATGACATTATGCCACATCTAATTAGTTAAATTTTATTTTTTCTTTTAACATTTCATTTCAAGAAATCTGGTATTTGTACTTCGCCAACCCTAATTTGTTATCAGATAGTAATGTGAGAGTTTTAGAATGTGATGTATTTAATTTGACATAGTTATGTGAATTGCTAAGGTAAATTGTTCTAATTCTATTTAAAACATATAGCCAATCCGTTTTAACTTTGTTAGCCTATTTACGTAATACAACTGATATGCAAATTTTGGGCGATATTGTGGTTTGATATTTGATCATGGAGTACAACAAGGCGAATATTTAACCTCACACTTGTTCTTAATGAATACAAACGAATTTGTAACTACTGTCAAAGCATTTATTTAAGCATGAACATTCAATATAAAAGGGTGTTAATGTACATTGAGAGAAATGGAAAACTGACCAAAATTTGAGCTGCGTAGAAAGATCATAACTTGTGTGAAAACGACCAGAGAAAGCAAAACCACAAAATTATATATTGTCTGGTATCCCTGTACAATTAACCCATATGGAGCCAGACAAGCGTGCATAGAACAATTAACATGAATCATATACACATATATAACAGGCAATCTTATATACAAGGGACTGGATGTAAACATCTATTTAGAGTGTGTGTAAGAATTTCAATAAAAAAGAAGTCAAGAATGACCGAGGCAATAGAGTGTATACTTTGTATTTATAAATATTCGTGATTATTCTTATATAAGACTATTTTTTTCATAACTCTCAACTATATAGGTATATCCATTTTTCAAGACATTAGCCTCACTTGCACACGATACTGCATGTATATTTAAACGCTTGGTGTACCTATGCAAGAAACCCTGTCTCACTGGAGACATTAGGTACCAACAAAATACACATAATGCATTTCATGGAAATTTGATACGTATCCGAAATTTGTTATACATATGCATATATTGTGTGCATTATCTGAAATTGTATACCCCACGGACACGAAGTTTGTCAGCTGTCATATATTGTTATGCTCTTAACTGTATTTTAAGACATTAAAACCTGTATTTTATACATGACATGCATAATGAATACTACTAAATGTAAGGTTAAATCAATCTACTTAATTGCTAGTCATTGATTAAAACTAATCGCCCAACTGTCATTAAACTACTACGTTGAGACATAAAAACAGTCTGAAATATATAAATAAAAACGGGACGTACCTGGTCCTGCCTGAGAAGATACCAGCGGATATATACATATGGAAAATAACACTGGATAAAGGATAAGATCCATTTTATATGTCCGTTTACACACCGTTGTGCATTCCAATAATATTAAATAATATTCACACTATTTACAAGTGGCGACGTCAGTTCGACTAAGCGCAGAATGGTAGACCTGTTCAATAAATCCTTGTATATAGTTGTAATCAGTGAACCACAGCGTATATCGAAAAGAAAACAGTTATACGAAGGTTCCTATTGTTCAGTTATACGGTGATTAAAGGTAAAGGGTCAGTATTTCGACGACAGGTAAAATGAATGAACTGCAATTCGGACACGTGATAAATGTGACTACAGGTGACCATCGAGTAATATAATACCACTATCCACAAGTTAATTAATGGTTCATTTCTTTCACATAAATCTTCATTGTGGCCAGACTGTGCACCCTCTGCTTAATGGATTTGACCAAAATAACACACCATAAACAACACCAGATTATTAAAATGGCATATCTTGTTGAATGACAGAAACGTTAAATCCGGGTCATTCGTAAAATCAACCATGAACTTTAAGAATTATCCCATTAACTCTAGGCACTCTATTTGAACCAAGATGTACATAAACAGCTATCAAGATCTGTAATTTAACTCCAAGCGTTGTTTGCTCTCTCTAAAATTAGTGAGTGTATCTTCCTTACGTCATATTGGTTCAGTAAACCGTCTGTTTTATATAGGTATAAATGAGACAATTTTAACTATATATAATTTCTCGGCACACAAATTAATCGTGTTTTATAACACAGCTTCAGGTTGTAAATTGTGACAGGTTGATATCCCATAACCCTTACTTCTCACCAAACCGCTTCAGGCATTCTCTCCATTTTGGTTGTTTGTTGATTACCTGATGGGGAGGAGTACATTTATTAAGAAAACATTTAACCAACTAACTATGGCGATTTCAAAACTATTTCGTGCCGTTTCTGCGTTCAAATGTGTGTCTATTTGAAGAATTGGTTCAGACGTAGAGACCCGTACGACCACGTGGCAGGACGCAAACTAACAAAGTCACAAGCCTCTTTTAAACCATCCTCCAGCGATCATCTTATATTGTTACCCTCCCTTCTTTTATCTCGTGTTTTTACTAGAAATCCTCCTAATGTAAAATCAGATTGTTTTCCAATTACTCATTATCAAGGTTTAATGTCCAATGTCTCAGGTAGTATTTAGTAATGTCACCAGATAAATCGATAGTGTCCTTTAAGAAACGTCAAGGTACAAGTACAGCATGTACAACACCATTCAAAACCGGTAATTTTTATTTTATCTAGAAATGCAATAATTTAGATGTACATCCTACATTCTGATTGTGTTAATGAAAAGAAACTTAGCCAAACATTTTCCGATCTCTAACTATCTAAGAATCTTAAACGCGTACAGCCTGTTGTACAGGCCCCCGGTGATAGACCAGTGTTCATTTGATTAACCAAAGGTCCTTTTGACGTGCATGGTTCATCCTAGTGTTTTCAACCTAAGGCACTAATACCTCCTGGGGCTACCTCAGAGTCCTCATACGGAATTTGTCCGAAAAATCCATTCATGAAATCGTGTTGAAATATAAATTCTTATCATTGTGCTTGTGGTGGAGGAAAGGTACCAGCATCGTCAAAATGCCAGAAGCTCGTACAATTGACATGAAAGGGTGGGGACCAGGAAATAGGTATTTGCTCATGAACTGTTGTCGGTGACAGAACTTGTGAATGTGTGGGTCTTGAAGCACCAAACATCCCATCCATCATACTATCAACTATCATACAGACTGGTTTAACCAAGTTCACGGGTCCCTTTCACAAAGGGGGCTCCCACCCCCAGAAAAAAAGTAAACGAAAATGTCCTTAAGTATCTAAAATGTTATCACACAAAATGAAATGATTCACAACTTATGCTTGGGCCTTATGTCAGGTATGACTGCCTATGAGGGCCCTTATAATATATGAACGTGACTTACAGGGGGGTCTCAGAATACGGGAGAGCATATATTTAAAAAACATTCCCGGGGAGAGGCACCAAACCAACTGAAGTTTGCAGACCTCCACTTATCTAGTTGAGCCACTGATACAATCCCTAAAGAGAATTCTGGTCAAGCTTACAAACGTAAATATTTCATTGCTAGAAGGAATATCCACGCAATCACAGAAATCAGTCATAACGTAGCACCAACCGCGACAAAGCGCCGATAATTCTGTCAATATTTGAAGATAACGTGGTTTGACTAAGATGAAATGTGACCTATTGTTGACAATATTACGGACCTTTATGCTAGATGATAGCTGTACCTTTAACAACTATAAGCTGTGAAATATATCACCTCGCCCGCCAGAAATAAACAACAAAACTTTGTTTAGAATTGCTACGTCTACGTTCACTTCACTCACACCTGCATTGTACATCAAAACAAAATGTCATTACCATCATTGTTTCCGAGCAGAAAGCTTGCTATCAGGTTCATATTTTGAAATAATAATTTGATGGGTTTCTGCATAGTTATCAGATTGTACCTGCCATACCTTCAGTGGTAAAATAATGCAATAGCATCAGCACACGCATTCATCTTGAATAAAACGCAATGTAAATGAACAGAAAAGTCATATTTTACTATGGAAGGTAAGATGCTCTTTTACAATTCCAATGAGGAACAATTTGATCTCGCAATGAATAAAACCCTGCAAAAAATTATGAAGCTCATCTCCCACAGAAAAAATCACATTACCTAATAATGATTTAATAAGGTAGTTTGAAAGACGCAAAAGGTGACATTCACGAAACCAATTTATAATATTTTTACTAATCAATCAATTGAAACAATAACACAAACAAGGAAGTTTTAAAAAAAGAAAGACAACCAAAAGGTCAGCAAAATAAAACATTAGCGAACTTTAATCCAACGAAATACTGTATACTTGAGGTATGAAAGAGTTTTGCAAGCCGTTAGCCCAATTTATTTATGTAAATGTATGTAATGGAAGAAAGGCCTGCTCTCTCATTTATTTTGTCCGTTTGTTTTATTAGAGAGTCGAGCGTTAGTTCTGAAAACTTAAAAAGTGCTGTATCAGCCTATATCTAGACCACAATATCTCTTAAAACATCTAAAGAGATCATCTTCCCCATATATCAGAGAAACGCCCAAGAAATTCTGGATACCTTTTTGTCAAATCTTTTCTAGTGAAATATTGTGGATCTTGATATTGCAAGTCGCTCGAACGACATTATATTGGGAAATATCCTTGACATTGGCTAATGAACACATTGTCACTTTGAATTGTCTTTTATCTAAAAGTATGCTGTTTAATGTGTCAAATACCTTCGAGTTGGTCTACAGACAGTCTCCTATGAAGAATAAAGCTCCCGGTTTGATGACTAGATAATCTGTAATTGATCAACACAGTGCCGCTGTTAAGAGTTCATTGGTTCTAATGTAACCTTGGTAATTGATATCCAAGAACTATTCTAATATGGTCTCACATAACTTCAACCAGTGAAATCGTCATTAGTTTACTATACTTATTAACTTGATAATACATTAAATGGATCGATTGATCATTTCACCGGGAATGATCTGGAAAAAGCGGACGTGGCTATGATCATACTATGTTATTACAGCACCAAGGCTCTCTGATTGTGCTAATATTGGGTTGCTTCCTGGCTGCGTGAATGCCAGAGGGTACATTTTGGTCTCTACTCTTCCCCCATGACGGAACTGAGGCTGAGGCGGTGGCGCGAGACTGTATTTGTGAGAGGGTCTTGCTAAATTCTGTATGCAAATTACCAGTTCTTTTTCCAATGATAACTGGCATTCAAAGCCTTGACCAACATCTTTGTTATTGCATTGTGAAGATTGTCGAAGCCTTGAATGAAATATTAGCTATAAATTATAACATTACAATTATATTAATTTTATTCAGTCAGTATTAATCCATTTTCTTTCATTGACAGCTTTCATGATAAATGACTAGATTAATACACCAAGAGGATCATATCATCACTGAAGATCACCTCTCATTATTAGGTCAAAAGGTTTAACTGGGAAAACTATTTTGTCGATACAACGCTTCGATAATTTACCATCCGTTGGCATCTTGATTGGAATGCCTATTCATATGTTAGATCACTCGTTTAACTCTTTAGCGTCGGCCATCTGGGTGAATGAAACGAATAATACAAGGGAATGCATATGTTAAATATTCTCTATCGAATACAAATAAGTGGAATCCTGAACAATTTGTTTTAGCCTAACAATATGCCGTATTAAATTCTAATTTCATGAATTTTTCTTGGATTGTTTGAGACTACATTGCTGCATACCAGCAGTGCACTATTTGATAATCCCTAGTTCATATCTTGTTCCCTCAGTAATATAAATCATGCTTGAATTTGTACCCTTTGCGCTAAAGCGTAAGAAAATGAATTTCATTTACATGTAGGCTATTTCAAAAGCGAAATAAAACTCATAGTGCTTTGAATGAAAATTTCTTCATTGTCGTAGTGACACTCTTGGTGACTTATTTTTCTGTTTATCACAGTACAGGATCCGGGAACATGACACATGTTTTTCCCATTAATTTTTTTACATAAAACATTCACGCCATGAACTATTCATTCAATTTATTAAATGTATTATTATTGACCGACATTTAGTATAATATTATGCAGAAATTTCACCGCACTGCTGCAAAGCTTTTGAAAAACTAACTTCCTGGTCCCATATTCTCGAAATGATCTTTGCGCTAGGATGTCCTATGTTCTTATCTTCTAACATTGATTCTAGGACATCCTAGCACTAAGATCGTTTCGAGAATACAGGGCCTGGTTATTGGGTTGTATGTTGACGTCACATTTTGCAGCATTCTTGGAAGCAAACGGTCTATCGTAAAAGTTATGCTAGTGCTCTGCAACGTATTACGGTAATGACGGCAGCCATTATTTACGGGAACTATACTGGCAATAATTAGAAAATGTTGTCAGATGGAAAAAAAATGCTTATAAAACGTATCATTAGTAAACCGATCGTCACAATATAGCATTATGTGCATAAAGTAAGTGTCAGAATTATCCCCTTAAGATAATACAAATACACGTAGTCCTAAATGACATTTAAATTACAAGAATCACGTGATCACGTGGCAATATCTATAAAGTTCTTGTAAAAAATTGTCGCTGGAAGCGAACGTTAACTTGTCATCTACCTTCCTACCTTGTCGCCATTCATGACCGTGGTTTGTTGCAGAGCGATTAGCGTGAAGGTAGGCCGTTTTATTCAAAACTTGACCACAACCATGTTTGAATCCCTTTAATAATGATCAAAACAAATTTCTAAATGGTGCCAATTACTTAAAATACAATAATATTGCTTATATAAGTTTATGGTTGACAACAAACACATTCAAAGATGTATGCCCATCTATATTGATGTCAACAAGGATGTCGATTGACATTGATCAATATTGACTCTCATGTTGACCGCAATCCAGCAGAATGAGAAGAAAATCAAACATTCAGTAAGAAATGTGATGTGTAAACGAGTATCTATACTTTAAAACTTTGTTATAGAACTACATATATTTTATGGCGTTTCGTGAAAAATCTTTTATACTTGTAAGGTTATAACACTAGTGAACTGTTAGTAATATTACAAACAGTTGTGGTCTGAAAATTGAAAATCATTAAAGAGTTGCCTACCTTGGCTCGTACTTAAGAACGAAACGAGACTTTCACAACGATCAATGTTTTCCAGGCTATTTTTAGAAATCTTCTTTCTCTCTCCCTTTTGGGGTTTTTGCCTGCCTATTTTTGGGTAAAATTTGGTCTAGATTTGGAATTTGATGTCTGAAATTGCATTATCTTTCAGATTTGGTGAGATGATGAGAGACTTAAAGGCGGAAGGCTAATTCTAAAAATAGTCGTTTTGTGAAGTGCCAAACTCTAGCGGATGAGTATAACCGGTAGTAGTCTACTTTCAATTTTAGTAGCTCAAAATTTTCATGGTCATCATATAATGAATTTTTTAGGAGACATTGAGAATTGGTCAGACTTTCATTCGACATATTGGAAAGCTTTCAACGAGATTTCTGGAAAAAGTTATAGAAGGTTGAATTTCGTGTTTTAACATGGGAAGAGATGGCAAATGAATTAGTGGAGTGAGTCCGTGTGTTTCGTCAAGCTTTGGATATTTATTGTCGTAAGTCTCCTGGTCGAAGCTAATTTTACTCTGAATCAAAATGTTCAAAATGCTTAAATTTGGAAGGTTACTTTGAATTGAAGTTTTTAAACTTAGTAATACCTCTGATAGCTATGCAAGTAATTTGAATTAAAAGTAAAACGGCGTCCTTGATTTCATTACTTCCTATTACGTAACATTTCTTGAAGACTTTAGATATGACTTTTGTTTCGTTATAGCGTTGCTTAGTGACGGTTTAGTTTTTTTAGGAAGATCGTATTAGATCTTTCTATTTGTCGACTCAGCCACTAAAGTCTATACGAGTGTATCATCATAATCAAATTATGATACATAACAAACCATATCACATTATTTTGTCTGGGAATATCTAACTAACAATGTATCAGACAGAATGGTTAACTTCTAATTATTATCATAAAAAGGTTATACAGCAAAACTGAAATAAAAGGATAGGTGTTTTATCCTTTCAATCATCAAACGCATTGCTAGATCTTTCAAGTATTGACTTTGGTAATTGATAACTGCTAATTAAGTTTATTGTATCAACACGTTATGTAGGAGTTTTGATTAGAGGTTACCCTCTTTTAAATGTTGTTTAGATTCCTTAACACTCTAACCGGATAGTTTTGTCTGAATCATTCAAGAATTCTTCATTCTCTTGTTGCTACATATTTACTTAAAGGGATTGTAAAGAGGTTTTCTTGACTTTTTATGTGTATCAGGGACACTAAAAGCATCAATTTGCACCATTTCAATTTTCGTTCCGACGTCTGTCGTTCCACTAAAACTAACGCGTTTTATGACGTCACTAGTGGAATTGCAAGAACCACAGACGTCGGAATGAAAATAGGAATGGTCAAATGTATGCTAGTGATATTGTAACAGAGAGAATGATGTTGACAAGGTTAATTTTTTTATTAAATTATTCTATTCAGTCTAGTCTGTTTTAATAAATACCTTTCTACAGACTTACACAGTTTAATTATTATCGTCTTGATTTACGTGGTTTGAATTCGCCTTTCCTGTTTACTTTTAATTTATTCATTCTAACATTACCCTTAGAAATTCCATTTAACAATCGCAAACCCCAGTCTTAAAGTGGCATTCAGCAATGGTAAGCTTAAGCACTTACTCGGTACTTATACCGGGCACAAAATGCGTTCGAACGGAACCAAAGAGCTGAAAGATTTAAGAATATAAAATTACACAAAATATGTTTATTGTATTTTCATTGTTTATAAAATGAAAGTAGTTCCTGTGGTTTGAAAGGAGGACTAACTATTGTCAAAAAATCATACTATTAAAATTTGTCATAGCAGTGGAAATTAAAACTATGTGAAAATAAAACTATGTGAAAATAAAACTATGTGAAAATAAAAGGAAAACTTATGTCTACAGAAATTATTCCTTTGTGGGTTTTTTATAAAGTTTCAAACATGACATGACAGTCCTGTGTTGCGTTAAACTATCATCATTGTGAAACACGTAATGGTGTGTGACACAATTAGTTCTTGATATCCAAATCTGCATGTCTATGCTGTGTGATGAATTAATTGCTTTAATGCCCTACTGTCGTAAATATATACAGTATAAATGTTGGCAACTACAACACTATATGGTTTACAGCAGTGTTTCGTCCACTACTATACTACCTTTACTTCCGATTTTGCAACTCTATGGACGAGATTTTTGATTGACGGAATTGTCTTGCTTGTTCGAATTTTCATTTCTTTTAAATTGAAAATTAAATGTATTTATTAAAATAAAAATTAATAAAATTGATAATAAAACGTTAACAATCAGTAGCTAGTTAGTACAGTAGTGTAACCTATTTTCGTGCATATAAGTATTCGACATCGAATTTCGTCAAAGTTACAAAAGCGGATTTTTTTTTAGATATTTCCTCATATATTCTACAAAATAATTAAAATTTGTTTGTTTCGATTTTCTGCATGAATCCCTCATTTCACGAGTAACCAACTCGACAACGGCGGCAAAATGTGTCACCTATTTTCGTGTACAATGTTTGATCTATAAATAAGTCGAGAAAAATACGTTGTTTGTATACCCAGTGGTATAATTAACTTCTCTTAGTATTTATCTTTAATATCATTGAAACAACACAAGAATATGGCCCACTTTGTGTCTCATAGAATTTTTCTGCTGACACAGAATCACGTGACTTCATTCGTTGGAGTACATTCTAGCAGACGACACTTGAAATTTCGATAACAGCTGGGGATTATAAGGAAATAAAATTTGGCTGATAAAAAATTGTGAAATCCGCCATTTTGTAATTGTCAAAGGATAAATTAATACACTTTACCTTGCTTGAAACTACTGGAATCATTCTACTAGCTGACATTGTAGAGATAACACATGTTTATCAAAACAAGCAAATGCGGAGGTCACACGAGGTCGCACATGTTAACTATTAATCCTTTCCGGAAATGCACGAAAAATAGGTTAGCACGAAATTAGGTTACTTGACTGTATAAAAGGCCGTAAAGGCTTTGGAAGTGTATATTGGTACTCTTGTTTTATTTACAGGAAACCGATAGTTACATTTGTTTAAAAAATGCTTTGAGATTGTCAAATTGGTGCAAATAGAAAAAAAGACTGCGTCATATAACCATTTATCATTTGATGTTGACAGTCAAATATTAGAACGACATGCAACTGCCATTACTCTGTATTTTTTACAGTGTTTACAGTCTAACATGTAATATTTTTCATGCGAATTAAGATTGTGAGTGATAAGAATCTGATATTTTCTTTGAAAAGATAGGGCAAGTATTTCTCCGATAGAAAAGTACATCGTTATCCACTTATCATTAATACATTATGAATAGGATTGGTCTTCAATGATATAGAACCTTCTATTCTCAGACCCTGTATTGATAAAATCTAACCTTAGCCAGTTCTAGTTCCTTAGTCATTCAGCTTATCTTAAAATCACGACATTTCCACTTTGAAAATCCCAAACTTTTAATCAATCCTGAGCACATGATCTCAGTATGAAATGGTAATAATGTTAAAAGTATAGGCATACCTAGGACTAAATGTTTTTAAACTTTGCCAAAATAAATCTTGTGATTATGATTCCACGACCAGTGCTTCATATGGTCTACTCGGTATCGGCCTTCAACCCTATCACATAACTTTGAGATAGAGATGGTCGGCATTGAGTACTAGTACTAGCGCAACATTTTAATCGTTTGAAAAGACAAACAAACTAACTCCCAAGAGACTACCAAAAACTTTGAATCCCTTTGAGATTTCAATAGAAAAAAAGGCTTTATTGTTCCAAATACCATTAGAACGAACGTAAAATTTTAATTCTATTCAAATGACATTATAAATTATTCACACCATAGAACTCAGGCTCGCTGGACATACAATAAGTACATTTCAAATCCATTGTTTTCCTGTCTTTGAAGTTTAAAGGGATAATTATCGGCAAACATTCTCCTGTTTGTGACATTTAATGAGCATTCGTACATGCCATCCACTGGTTAAAAACATAAGAAGAAGTCTTTTTAACAGGGAAAATTGCACTAACCCCAGACGTCTGGTTGAAATTTTGAATGGTGCAAATTAATGCTATATAAATGACTTGTATTGACGTTGCTAAAATATATCTTCATCTGCTTAAACATTCAATAATTGGAACAAACCGACTAACATCCCATTCATGCTGTCTAATCTTTATTACTGATCTATTCTATTCCATATTCGGAACACCCCCAATTAAAATAAATCATCCCCTTACAACCAACCTATGCCCCCAACCCTCTTTGCACCTGCAATACACTAATACAGTTAGTATTCCAGGGGCCTTATTCTCCAAAACTTAACTTAAATAAAATCAAGTCAAGATTGTAAGAAATACGGTAATGTGATTGGATAATAAAACTAAATTTGAAATTGATTTCAGTAATAGACCAATCAGAAGACTGGAACACTAAAATCATCTTAAGTTAAGATTACAAGAATAAGGCACCAGATGCACAAGTAAATACTGGGCTAATCATACAATTATATGATTTTGTTAAGACGTCATAGGAGAAGCCAATGAAACTTCAATGATGTGAAAAAATTAATTAGGAATTAATAAACCATGGATGTATGAGTATTTTTTGATAATTATATTTCACTGAATATTCATGACATATTTATAATGTGAAGATGAAAGTTTCTAATTCAAAATAAAAGGTGAAATATGTCGTATGTGAGCCACCGTACTATTGTAATTGTTATTAGATTAAAGAAACGAGATCATGTCATAGTGTTCTGCATTCATTCTGTATTCTTCCTTCAGATAAGGCATTGAATCTGATTAGTTGAAACTAAATATTCCACTAATCAAATTAAGTCTTGAATACTGGCTTACTGGATCAGGTAGTTGGATTTTTCTGGTTTTCTCTTTTATACCGACATTTTTTCGAGATTAAAATCAGTGGCCCGTACTAAATCCCTAGACCAATGGTGATTTTGACTATAGTCGATATCTTAAAAGTATGTCTGCCCTGAAAGTGTCAAACCCCGACTTCTGTTACCAAATTCTACTAGCCGATCATCATTGGCTAGAGTTACTATATCCCTAACTACTGAAGAAATGGACATAGAGCAACAGACGCCAGCACTAAGTAGAGTCAACGCCCATCCAAGCAAACCGTGGAACCATTCCGAGTCAAGCTGATGCAGGTAAACTTTCGCACTGAGAACATCCCAGCCGACCTTCAATTGAATTTCCAAGACCTCAACAGATGCTGTGACTCATTCTGATTCCTGTTTGTCAAGTATAAGATGCAACACATATCCTTTTAAATTAAAAACTCGCCATTTTTTGAAGTACCTCTACAAATAAAAGTTATCCGTTCCAGAAACATCTATCAATTTTATTTACTTACTTTCATAAAGCACAGTAGTCACTTGAGGATTATTTTCTGATATCAGCATTTTGATATAGATTATCAATTGTTATCAATTGTTCAGAGTTTTTATCACTATCATGCCCCCTCAAAAATTGAAGAGAAAACCTAACCTATTCCGAATCATTATAGTCTTTTTAGTTAAAGGGCGTATATAAAACCATCCGCATGATCTAGAGATTTACCTGGTTATACCTACCCCATAATATTATACAAATCAACTGGCAAAATGAAAGAAATAGTAATCAAATTTAAAATTGAATATTAAAAACATTTGCATTTTTGGAATTGGAGATATTTTCCATATTTTTTAAAATCGAAATCCTAAAGTTGGCTAATACAATGTATTATTAATTAATTCATTAAATCATTCTTTCTGTCTATCTATCTATTCTTCTTTCATTCATTGATAGATAAAAGACACATAACTATGGATGAATCTCACATCTGAAAAGCCTGCCAACACAACGGTATAATATATAATACAATATAAGATCTATTTTAGATAATAATGATAACATTATCAATCCAATTCTTCAACCCAATATAAAAGTACCTGACTCAAGCATTAAAAAATCACAAAGTCCATCTTGTATTTTTATTTTGAAGAAAAGCATTGAGAAGTTTTGTCCATTCATTCCATTCATCTGTTATTTTACATGAGACTGGTCCTAGAATGAGATTCTGCTGGGAAATCTATGAAATAGATTTTTTAGTTCTTTAATGAGTAACTTACAGACAGCATTCAGTCCTCAGGCCACATGAAAAGTGGAATGCACTGTAGAAAAATAGGCTTAAACATTGACAAATATCACACCAAAATGCTGTTACCAGAAAATAATTCTTGAATCGTGTACGATAAGAACATAAGTACTTAATATATTTGTAAATTAGATGTTTCTGAATTGGGTTGCTTTTCATTGTAGAGTTTCTGATTTGATCAAGATTACAATTTCTTATCGTTTCTTTTTCTGATAGTTTAGTCTACTTTGTAATCTTAGTAGATTTCTACCAAAGATCTGTCCCAAAGGTAGTATTTTCAATCAATCAAAGTGTGTCATTCAAAACACGTTTAAAGAACACAAGGGATATCTAAACTGAAAGTAGAGCAATATGACAGACACTTTGGGTTTCGCTACCCAACAGTGCCTTATTTTTTTTTTTTTTTATCAAGAAACGGATTTTACAATGTTTTGATTGGTTAATAACATCACCTTTGGTAGAAATCTCTTTAGATTACATTGTAAGCTCAAAATATCAGAAAACAATAACCGAAAACAATAAAGATACGAAATTGTAATCTTATTTTGATAGATTGATGGGGAATCTGAAAGAAAAGAGTAGAGATACCATCTCTGTGTGCTGGACTTGAAATTGGTTATGGAGTCTGTCAATTTCCATTTGGTAGGGATATGATAACTGGTTTTATGAATGGAGAGGTAGAAACAACAGTTCGAGTTCTACATTTTCCAGAAGCGCAGTACCATCTTAAAACAAATACCAACTCTCAGTTAATTTCAAAGACTAGAATCACGAACATCAAAAGGTATGGCACTATTGACAGTTCTAACAGCTATTCATCTCTTTTAACTGTATTGTCTAACTGTCTTGCAGGTTTTATTTGTTATTCATAACGCGACTTATTGAATCATTGTGTATTATTTGAACTTGCCGCTACAGCAATTCTTACTGACACGTTGATATTTGACGTGAAATGAACAGTTATATTGTTATAATACACAAATGAAAGAAAGGCATGCTATATATAATTTTATCCTGCTGTTCTGCAATTTAATAATATAACGGCGACTAGATATGAATAATTTCAACCAATGCCAAAAGTGATTGGGCTTCGAAAATTAGCCTACACAACCGTGTTGACCAATATACTGTTAGTCTCAATGGCATAGATTTGTCTTCGTCTGCCCATCCTGAAGCCAAAATGGTAGGACTTGAAACCCTATTTTATTTGATGTGTACTATTTTAATCTATACATGTACACTTATTCTATTGTACAGGTTTAGTTTTCCAGTCCTTTTTGAAACCCATAATGTTATTTAAATGCCAAGCAACATAAGAAATGTAAAAAATGTAACTTTCTCTGTTATTTCTTCAAAAATGTGTCTATATCAACCTACACACGGACAATGTATCTTCCTAAAATGAATAAAAATGTATTTCATAAGATGCCTTATGACAAACATGCGCCAAATCATTTCCGTTGCTTTTCGCCTTTAAAATGATAATATCAATTCAGGATTGATTTGATTTTGATAATATTTGACGAGTGGATGAATACAGCCTATCTCTCTCATTATAACTGTCTTCGAGTATAATATTTTAATCCTTGAGGTATTCCATATTTATAGTTTTTCTTGAATATCAACAAATTTACGATGTATTTTTTATTATATTTTGCTTCATGTTTGAAATAAATTCTATTTTCTGTATAAATTAAGTGTCCTTTAGTATACTCGTTAAAATGTCATATGTGATTGCCAATAAAAATCTGCCTTCGTGTTTGTGTCTATAAATCATTTTTCTTCACCAGTGCTTAACTTTTTTGCAATCCCGAACAGAAAATATAGAATTGTCCATTTTAGATCCAATACCTGGGTGTACCGTTATTTAGAATGAACATTTGGAGCCAAATCTTACGAACGAGATTCAGCAAAGAATAGTTTAACACATCTTAAAATAGTTAATTTCAGTTGTTTATATCAGCAGATAGGTCGTGCGTGGGTCGAAATGTTCCAGAAGCTAGCCAAATCAATACAAATTTTAAAAAAAAATGTGAAACCACAATTCCCTATTATAAAGTGCTAATTTAATTAATTAAAAACATAAGTTATTTTATATACGTAGTGATCAATAAGAAGACAAACGAAGATTTTTATCTTTGATCAAAGTGTCTGTCGGCAGTAAGTGTAAAGAACTAATTTGACATTCTTTTTTTTTTATCCCGATATTTACGTTAAGAAACGACAAATTTATTATGCAATCGCTTTAATTGAAACGAAAACAAAAATTTATTACAAAAGTGATTTCAAGGAAAAGTAGCTTTGACAGATCAATTTCCACCATGTCCACAAAGTCACATTTTGGTAGATATTGGTCCAATTGGGGCATCCTTGAGGAATCGGATAACCCTTTAACAGTCTCAAATAGTCAGGTTTATGTCATTATTAAGCCTTTCCACAGCTTCCAACCCAGCGAATAGTACTGTCAAAGGGGGTGGAGCGTTTTTTAATTTGATCGATATCCTCTTGTAGGCCTACATTTAAAACCTTTACCTAAGATGACATTTTTTCATTTATTCTTATATTTATCAGAGCAATTCACTCTAAACTATAAAAAAAATAATTATTATCAAAATGAAAGAAGTGTTTCATCTATCTGAAGTAACAATATAACGGATATAGTGCAATTATAACGAAATAAAAGGCCACGAAGAAAAAACAACCCAATGCCAATTAGTAATTCTGTTTAATGTTATGAAACTTGGATTTTACTTGTTATGTAATCGACATGAATTTGCTGCATTCAAACTTTATCAAGGTTATAACATTAATAATTGAATCACAAATTGACATTATACGTGAACGGGTAATAAAAGTGAAAAATCTTTCCGAAATTCCACAACACTAACCTTGTACTCAAAGAAACACAATAGCTTCTGGTAATTCATGCATGACATAATAAAAGCGTTGGGAAGGCAGTCAGGCATCAATAAAACAAAGTGGAGTCGTCCCGAGGTGACTAGTTATTCAATGTAGTGAAAGATTGGATAACAGCCATTAAAATTTGATGGTATAAACATTCTGCTATATTTATAGTGTAAAACCCCACTTTCTCGACAAATCTTACTATTCCATTTGCTTTTCTCTTGAATAAATGTTATTTTTATTTCTTCTAATCAACAGCACCAGACAGTAAGGTGGTAATGTTATTATTATCATGGGGTTTTCATAATGTTCACATAGCTTAATGTATATATTATTACGCTTTCGGAATAACATTAGGATACGTTCGTGATGATAATTTAAAGCAGTTGACAAAATCCAGCATATTTGGGTTAGGAGATGGCAGATAATTAAAGGTCGTTCTTAGTTAAAGCTGATATTACAGACTACTCGGAACTTTGTGGTTGGGCTAGCTTAAATTCTGAATTCTTTCTGCCTTTGTCCAGAGTATCAATTCTCAGGAATTATGTCTTAACTTACACAAGCTTATAAACGTGGCATGTGACACAACTTTAAGACAACGAAATGACCAAGTCGTTGTTATGGGGAATCGTTTCTCTTTGTCAAAAGAAATTTAAAGTTTAAATTGGTTGGTTAGTCTGAAAATAATATACGAGAAAAGAACTGTTTGTTCACCATATCTTAATTGATGAGAAACATATATCACTGTTTGTTCTTTAATTCGGGCTAAACAATTTGACGGATGTTGGGTCAGATCACTACAAGTTGGTGAACTAATTTCCGCTTAAATAATGTTATTTGTACAGTAAAAAAAAAACAGCTAGGTCAGCGAGGGAAAATCAATGGTTCCATAGGTCAAATTATTCAATTATTCGAAATTGTATGACCATAAAGAGAGTCTGGACAATCGCAATGTCCAATAAGCAGATTGTTGTATGCCAAGTAGTCAGGATTAATTTGATATACTATTGTTGAAGATCTAAAAATAATACTCTTTATCCTAGTCGTTTTTATAAGAAACAAAATAATTTGTGGACAAAAATCTAGATGGATTGAGAATTCTAAATGTATATGTGAACGAACAACGTCATGCATTAGTCTCAAATAAAATTTGTATGTACGACAGCAATTTGTAACCGAAAGCAAAGAAATTCGTGTACTTGGCGTTTTCATTCACAAAGTTTCTGTTGATCTTCCAGAAACTTTCATTCCAAGGATACCAAAAATGCAATCATGAAGGCACATATTGAGGCAATTTGAGATAGATAAGCCTACGGTAATTACGTTGATACATGTCGTTGTAAAATGTTAAGATTCAGAAAA